CGGAGGAACTGAGGCAGATATTGGGAGAAGGCTAGTCTTAGCCAGTACCGCCTTGGCATCCCTTGACAAGGTATTGAAGTCAGCACAATACAGTACAAAGACCAAATTGAAGATCTTCAACACAAAATGTTCTATCTGTGTTGCTGTATTGTGCTGAACTATATAGAGAACAACAGAAAAAGATGACGAAAAGCTTGATACGTTCCATCGAAAATGCCTTAGGAGGATCCTTAAAATACACTGGCCTGAAAAGATAACTAACCAACAACTATATGAAAGAACAAGTTCCATACCTCTATCAAGCACCATCAAAAGAAAAAGATGGAGATGGATAGGCCATATCCTCCGAAGGGAAGAGAATTCACACGTTAGAACAGCTCTCGCCACTGGGGGAAAGAGACGAAGAGGACGGCCAAAGAACACCTGGAACCGCTCTGTTAAGAGAGAAAGGGAAGAACTGGGCTGGAACAGTTTGAAGGAGTGGCAGGTTGTTGCCACTGACCGCTTTAAGTGGCGTTCTTTGTTGAACTCTGGGGCACGGAGAGGATAAGTATGTAAGTAGTTCATAACTTTTCCAAACGTTAAAGGTCTTATGTATCAACTTCATGATAAATATATTTGGGAGATTAACTATAACTTACGTTTGTCGGTTTGTTTAAAATCGAGAATTCTTAAACTCGTATTGAGAAGCCACCACTTGCCGATGAAAGTTTTTTAGACCTCTACTCAACACTCAGAGCAATAAGGGATTTTGTGCCAGCATCTAATGCAACACGGAACATCGGTTTATACGATCATATCCAAAGGACCGATCTCCAAGTAACGCAGTGGGATTTGCAACCGCGAAAAAAGAACTCCGCGACTCTAAGCAGACGTTATAATTATTGTGCCACACAGGCACATAATAATAAAGAAAGATCATTTTGAAGCAAAATTTGAGATGTTTTATTTGTTAAGGATGGTTCCCACCTTTTTAATGCTAATATGTTAAAAGCAACACCTATAAATGATACCGAATTAATAAGAAGTAATTCTAAAAAAAAAAATAAGAACACATTGTATTATTACTAGTATTATAATGTTTATAATTTATTTCTTTATCGACCAGGGTATTTATCTGTTTACTTATTTTTTTTATTTGTTGAAAATTTCAGTAAAAATTATTGAAATTAGTTGAGATAACGAATATTAATCGAGCACAAAAGTCCATCAAACCTAACAAAATTAGAGCGGAGCAAACACGGATTACCAAAACATCAGAGGTGGGATCAGGTGCCATGGAGGAGTGAGCATCCCCTGCCGACCGGTCACATCCGCCGTGTAATCCTTTTTATGTTCGAGAAAAAAGAACAAATCCGTCGACAACTCATGAAAAAAGTCAGTCAGCATTTGACTTAATTACCGTCTTCCTTGGAAGACGGTATTGTATAGTTGAAGTTTTTTACAGTCTTCGGACTATGCACTTCCTCTCTTTTGTGATTGGTAGAAAATGCATGATGAGAAAATTTTCAATTATTTCATTTGTTGAAATGCTGTTCAAGGCAAGGGAGATAACTTTCTGATGATCTAATTTTCTTAATCCTTAACAATTTTGCAAGATTTTCAATCTTAAAAAAAAATGACAAAACGAACAACAAAATCAACAGTAATTAATTTCTAATAACATGATTTTTTGTATAGCAAAAAATAAAAAGATCTCTTTAACTTCATTATAAATAAAATTTGATTTTATTGCTTGCAGGCTTTACAATTTGTTATTATTCTTTTCCCCTTTCTTGTTTGAATAAGGAAATGGAATATATTGTGTGGTTTTGCCGAAAAGCTCTCGGCGAGTCAAAGTTTACGGAGATGACCGAGCGACAACCGTGATAGGGCTAATGCCAGTAAAAAGCTAATGTAGAAATACAAAATCAAGAAATTCAGAAGAAGAATACGGCCTGATAGGTGTAGATCAGTTTACAGTTTAAGATTGTTGCTAAAGACGGGAAGCTTTTTTAAAAAGCTCTACTTGTGATAAATTATATTTGCTGATAAGGTCGATATATCGACCATAGAAGTTTCGAAATGATGACTTTAAACGAAGCTGCTGATATTCTTGCTTCATCAACTTTATTGTCAAAAACTGACTTCGTATAGGGAAATTGCTAAGAAACATATTCGTCCGTATCGAATCAACTGAGATATATAAACTCCGTATGCAGGTTACAAGGGTATATTGCTGCATAAGTAAGGAAAGTTGACGATTGAAACATGTGTTAGACTCGGTGGTATTTTTTTACGTCAAGCTCATCGGGATATATATTGTAACGACATTACAATGCAAATAATAATTCTTAATTGACAATACGTCGTCGATATATCTAAGTGTCGAGTTGAAGGCCATGGCAAATGTTTTTTTCTTTTCATTTGAATACAAAAATAGGTCTTCTAATAACGGAATGCCATTGGTACCGATGGGAATTCCAATAGATTATTGGAAGACCTGGTTTCCCAAAAACTACAGAGATGTTGTCAATCAGAAACTAGAACATCTTTTTAATAACTTCAAATAGTTATGTGTACAGTCAAATTGTTTTTATTAAAAGTAATTATGAATTGAACAATGAAACGGCGTATTTCGGTTTTATTGAAAAAAGTAGCTGTCAACATGCCGTCAGAAAGCCTGAACTTTAATTTATTGTAGGGAATACACATGTAGTTGAATATAAAGATGAAAAGTATAAAGTTTTTATGTTGTTGAATTTGGTGTGTGATTTCAAGTGTTCCTACTCAAAAATGCATTTTCCTCTGAGAGTCTGTCCATTTTGGGTTAGGATCAATATTGTAATTAATATCCTCCTGTTTGTGACCTTCTAGGAAGAATCATTGATTCACTGGTTATGATTGATTGATTATAGTTTAAGGTCCCTCTGGAGATTTTTTCACTCGTATGAAGATGCCAGCACTTGCCCGGTGATTTTTTTCGTGCCAGCACCTACTTGTTGATCCGACAAAATACATCCAAGGAACGACAACTCTTATTCATCTAACCATGGTGAAAAGTATATGAAAAATGAAAAAAAGTATTTAACTGCCACTTTTAATTGTGATGAGATTTTGGATAGTCGGTCCTCCTCAATTATCCTATAGGTAGAAACTAGACGGAAGCATGACCCTCCAAAATATTTTTGTTTGATTTTCTCATGAAAACTTAACATTTATTGTTGTTTTAAACAATCAAGTTAGATTAGGTTTTAGCCATTTGTTAGCCGCTGAACTGTAGATCTCTGCTTGAGAAGCTTTTTCTGTCCGAATTTTCTCAAACAGAGAGCTACAGTTCTGCAGCAATCATCTGTATAACCGATTTCTAAAGAATTGTCACAGGTAATAAGTTGCAATAAAAGGTATCATTCAACAATACAATAATTTCGAACTTTCACACACTTTATACATGATTAATACAGATACGAGGGTTTAAGTCAGTCGCAAAAATTTATCAACTGACGCACTGGTTCTTATTAATCATTGTTACCTAAAAGTCGAAAGAAAACAAACTCAAAGATGATATTAAGAATAATATATAATATTCTAGTTTTTGGTTTTATGCTGTGAGTGCCTTTGATCAATCAATATGCTCGCGTGATAATTTCGTAAAAGCCGAAGAAAAACAACTCATATTCATAGAATGTCAAGCTTTGAAATATCATTTTTTTATTTACCCTATATATTTCGTTTAATCTTACTCCTACAACTAATTGCTTTGACTTTCTTACATATCTCAGACTATTATCCGAAGTCCATTTTCGAACCGTCTTATGTAAGAAGCTCGTGCGTCACAAAATGAAGTGTAAACAATTGATTTTCAGATACAACGTATTTGCATGGGGTATTCCAGTAAAAAAAAAATCCACTTAAATTAGTGTTCATTAATCAAATCTCTTATTATTTCAAAATTTTCTCCCAAAGTACTTACTATTTCACGAAACAGTAATTATTCAGAATACGAAAATTAAGTCTGTAAATATTTTTTCAAATCCATTTTAGAATTCTAAATCATGACGTTCTGATTCATGCTTCAATTTTGAAAACAATGGATTCCTCGTTTAATGCATATAAGTTTTATCGCAATTCTGAATGTGTTTTTTTTTTTTTTTTTTTTTTTTGGGGGGGGGGGGGGGGGGGTTATTTGTCGTTTGTAAATCTCAAAACTTGAAATCTCCTAGAACCTCAAGCATGCTCTGAAGTAGACTAATCTCTACCAAGTTGACCTCAAAGTCTGTCAGACTGTGCAACAATTTTATCTTGACGGAGGACAGTCATATTCGGTCCATGAGATTGGGCACAAATTTGATATTAATATTTTTCAAATTCTCAGTGTACATAATATCATGACTTACATGTTTCTGGAATAATTATGACCGATATGCTGAAATGCGGTGCATTTACAATTTTTACTTTTATCTGATTTTTGAAATCTACGAATTTTATATCGTGTTTAATAGACACAAATCCTTAAAGACATCTTCTTTCATGAAGTATAATTTATTCTGAAGTTAGAAAATGTGTTTCACTCTCAGTTGATTTTATACGCAAGAGCGTACTCTACGGATTCTAAAACGAATCAAACGTTTCACAAATAAAAAGCTACTGGCACATAAGTTGATGGCCAAGGACAATCAACTCAACACTTCGAAAATTCTTTGATTGTTACAATGACCTTGTAGCAAATACAATCTAGGTCAAATATTGACCGATGATTCCAATGCAAATTGTACGACCAAAAGCTTCCGACTTAATTTTGTATGAATTTTTCTGCATTTTGAATTTTGACAAAGAGCACATGGCGTGTGACTCGTCAACAGGATATGTTTATGCCTTAATGCACCAGATCCTTCTAGTATTTTTAGAGGCCCGTGTTTTCTCTTCTGCAAATTTGCATTGTTTGAATGGATTTTTGAGCTTGACTATTGATCATTATCATCATAATTTCAAGCAATGATAAAACAGACAAAAACTGTAAATGGTTTTGAAATATCAATTCAATTTTATTAATGAGACAATTGAATATCATGTTAGAACATGAGGTAGGTATGATGAGCTATGGACATTTACAATTAAAGAGTGACACTTCGGGTTTGTGGTTTGGCATTTCTATAGTGACATGGATAAGTTTTTGGTTTATTTCTGCAGAATTCTTCTCAGGAGATCAACGAGTTCTCTTTTCTTGTCATTTTCTTTGTGCTCACTTTCACATCCGGCTACAAAAATACAATACAATAAGACAACTGTACAATTTTAAAAATTTTAAAAACATTTAAAATTTGAATAAAGCTTTAATGCACTGGTATTGAAAACAGTCGATAATATGACAGTTGTGATGCAGAATATTTAAATTTATTTTTAAGTTTAAAAAAAGAAGATTTTGAGAATTTATTTATTATTATTTACCTATCACATCTTTCACAATGGCATCTGCTTTGGCAATATTTAGAACAGATCCCTTTGTAAACATGGCAATCTCAACCACTGAAAAAAGATTCATTGTAATTCATTTTAAGTCTGACATCATAGTTCAAACTTTGACTCATTATTAATATATTGATTTTTTTGTTGGTATTGTTGCTGTTTTATTAATGATAATTATGTTATTATCATTGTATATTTTTACTTTCCTTTTGATCAAAATTTAAAAGTATACTGGCTTGAACATCTTTTCTTCATAAACTAGTCATAAAGACTGCCTTTTTAAGAATTTGAATTATTTTGTATTAAGTTAATTTACTTTAAAAACAAGCTCCTTACCATTAGTGTTTGTTCTCATTTGATGAATGACACTGTCAACAGTGTCTTTAATACAAGTTCCAATTCTGATGGCTCGTTTTTCACATCCATCCAAAGCGAGAACTTCATCTACAAAAAATAAAAACCTTTGAATACCTCTAAAATAAAAATATATTACAAGCAATGCTCTAGAAAATATTTGTAAATCAATTTTTATTTTCATTTAAATTTTCTGATATTATTTTCAAAATAAGATACACTGTCTTGTTTTTTTTTTTATTAGTAAACAACATCTAGTAATTAATATTTATTTCCATAAACTTACCCTTTGTGCATCCGGATGCAATTGGAAGAACCGATGGTGTAATGGACTGCCCACCTAAAAGTAAATATTTCATATATTATGTTTTGATTTATTGTAATAATTGAAATATACGGAATGCATCAAAGAAATAGAATACACAGGGCATTGGGAACACGTCTAACCTTTTTGTTCATGAAGTTCAGCCAGCTTTACGGCAGCGTCCAGATGTTTCAGAGCTAATTCGATGTCACCTCCTTTTATTGAAAATAAAATTCCAATTGACCATATATATTATATTGCTACATAAACTACATAAAACATTCTCTGATTGGAATGTGGTCTTGATTTTAAGAAGGTATATATATCAACTTCTACACATTCATTATTGCGGTACTTAAATCAATATATTTTAGAGAACTTTATTAAAGTAATATACATATACTATGAATTTAAAAAGTCGAGCTGTATAATGTGAAAATAAAACTTTGGAATAATAACAGGTATCTGTAATTTTTTTTATTCTAAAGCTAAACATGTAAATTTCGCAAAGAGGAAATCAACAGGTTTTTTGACTTTATGTCAACTTACCTCCACTCAGAAGTGCGACCAAGTTATCGCGGATATTCACCATATCACCGTGAATTCTCATTCCCAACTGCTTAAACTTTTCCATATTTGCTGGGTCTTTTAGTTCTGGAGAAAATGTGACAAATCAAATTAAAATACCTGTAAATATAATAAAAGAAGCAATTTCAAAGATTAAAGCTTTTTTAAAGATTTGTTTAGATTTAGTACCTTCCTCAGTAATCATCCAAGCCTTTTCCCAGTGTTGAATGTCCAACTGTAAGAGTGATGTTTCAATAGTTACATGTATGTTAAAATGTGGAGTGTATTGATAAATGCAAAGAAAGGGTGGCCCATCAACATTCTGAAGTTTTTCAATTAAATATATTTTTAAAATTTATTTATCATATTATTATTTTGTTTTCCATAGGATTGTGGGGAGAAAGAAGGGGATAGGGGTACCTTTAGAAGACATGCTTATTGTGAGTCTGTTACCACATTAATTCAAAATATTTGATACCTTTCAATTCAAAACAGAAATAAAATCAATTTAAATGTTTGACATGTTTAGCTTTCATTACTCACTTGTGAACAGGAACCTAAAAAAAAATCAATTAGCAAACAATCAGTAAATATACATGTTTAACTTAATGAAAAGGGAATATTGAAATAGAATTATATTTTCATTAAATTGATTTTTATTTGTCGAAAGTATACGTTATCTCTTATTTTAGATACTTACTCTGATTTAAACATATTTTATTGAACACAATCAAGATCTAAAATAATATATGGGATTGGACAATACACTTTATACCTGAATTCCAGTGATAAATGTGATTTTGCTTTTTAACACAAACAAAAAAACGAGAACATATATAATCGTGATGTACATGAACATATATACTTTATACAATTATATATTAAAAAAAAAAAAGAGGAAGAAGAAGAAAGTGGTGCAGAGAGATAAGAAAAGAAGGGGATGGGAGTGCATGGAGAGAAGAAATAAAGGGGGGATTATTTTAAGGATACAAAATGGTTACACTGGTTATTCATAAAATCTTTTTGATTTTTTAATATATTTATGTACAGCTTTAACAATATTGATATTATTTTGTTGATTTCATCTACAAGAAAAAGAAAATGTACAGAAACATGTGTAAAAATTAACTGAAATATAGTTTAATCTACAGTACACCTTGTTGATATAATGTACATTTATAGAATTACAACAAATTTATATACACTGTAAAAATGAACAACAAATAATTATTTTTACAATGCAAAAAATGTCAATTTAACATTTTAAAGCAGAGAGATAAGAAATTTCAGGGAAAAAGGAGTGCAAGGAAGGATGAAAGAAGGAAGGGGATTTTAAGGATACAGAATACATGTAGTTACGCTTACTGTTCAAAAATCTTTTCGAATTTTTAATATATTTATGTACGGCTTTAACAATATTGATATTATTTTGTTGTCGTCCAAGTTTGGGTCCCCAACAAAGTATTTTATCAAGGTCTATTTCTCCTTTGTTATTTTTTATAGTATGGAATAATTCTTTTCTTATTTCAGTATAATTTTTACAAAACCAGGATAAAAATGCAATCTTTAAAAGTGTTTTCATTAATATATCCACAAGAACACTTGGTATTGTCTGGAAAGTTTAAACTTAAAAAGATCTGCCTAAGGAGGCTAAATACATTGTGCCTGCATTATTTAAAATTAAATTCATTTTTTGTCGCCATAAGAAAGATATTTAAGTGCAGGATCACCTTTAGAGAGTCTCTTTTTAAAAGCATTTATAGTGTCAAGGTTTCTGGTGTTAGGCAATGCATTCCATGCTGATATATATAGTGGAAAAAATGAATTTTTGAAAAATTTGTTCTACTGCTCCTGGGAATAACAATATTATTACTAGTGCATAGTTATCATAATGGGTACCAAAATTGAGAGATTTTATGGCCCCAGGGTAATAGATTCTTGTAAATATTAGGGTGGGGCCATGTTATATATTTTATACATTAAACATAATTTTCTCCTTTGCTCCTGGTCTACTAATGATCTAATTACATATTTAATCCCGTTTAAATATAGAGATTTACAAAGAAGCATCAAGGTTTTGAAGGCCTGTGAAAAAAAAAAAAAAAATTCTTCTAATTGTAATTTCTCCAGCCTATCACAGTCAGATACTTACTCTCAATCTCTTGTAGTAGTTTTGGAACTTTGGCAACATTCATAACGACACCCTTCGTGTATTTAACCAGTGCAAGATCTAAAATAATATAATGTGGATGATTCAATATCACTTTATACCTGAATTCCAGTGATAAATGTGATTTTGCTTTTTATAGACAAACTTCTCCAAAGAAAATAGTATGTATTACTATATTCCATATATATCTTTGATCTCATGAACATATATACTTTATATAATAACAATCTTAGAAATCTATGTCTATATTTTTTGTATTTAAAATATCTACTACAATACATGTGTCAAAGAAATAATTCAAATAAGACAGAAATTAAAAAAATTCAATTTAACAAGGCAGAATTTACAAATATATACAGGCATGTAGATCATTTGTATCAGCCAGAAAAATTATTTTAAACTTAATTGAAAAAAATGTTACCCTACTCCGCAGTACTCATGCATGTTTTATGATAGGAATTATTTTAGCCACAATGTCCTAGACTGTTGATTTCATCTAACACATATTAAAAAAAAATGAAGATATATTTAGACTTTTAAAGAATTGATTTTTAAAAATATATTTTGATCAAGGATTCACAAAATTTATATATAATGGCCAAACTGGCAGATGATGAAATAAGCAATTAAATATACTTTCCTATTTGTAAGCATTTTATTCAAATCTTGGATAGCATAAAAAAAAGAATGTACAAATGTTAATAATTGATTTATTAATTTTTTTTATTTCCTTCTCCATAGGAACTCATGTTCATAACTAAATTTAACATTTTAAATGCTAGTATATTCAAGAAATTTCAAAATAGATAATTTAATGTGAAGGACTTCTAAAAATAAATTGATGTTTGAAATCTGCCCTTTGATAAGCAATGGTGCCTCTTTCAAAATTTGTGAATTCCATGGCTTTTGGCTTAAAACAATGAACAAATACAATCGCTTAAGTTGTTACATGATACTCAGGTGACCTATAAGGCCCGATATAGTTTTTTGTGTTTGACGCCGAGTCGGCAATATTTCAGCCATATTTCGGCAATCAAATTAAGCGAAAATGACCATTTTTTGTTTCCCTGGCGGCCCCCAGTGAGCCTCCTCTTTGTCGAAAACCAGGAAAAAGATTTTTTACGTCCCCGATATAAAGTATTCCAATGCTTGTGTTTCAAAGGACCAAAAATCATCACTTGGGATAAGTCTGAACACTAAAACTATGCTAAACATGTTTGTTTTTTTTATTTATACCTTGCCTCTTCCTTACCTTTTGTACAATCAGCGTCAATGGGAACGCTGTCTGGTTGAACAGTGCCAGCGCCTGAAATGGACATTGAGGTAATATGACAACTGATCTTTTCACAACTTTTATTTTTTCTCCATAGGCCTATAGCATTAATGTCTCTTCTACTATCAGACAGCTGATTTCATTTCTTTTTAATTGAGAAAAATAAGAAGTCTAGATGTTTTTCAATTGTATTTGATTTTAAAGCAATATTATTTCTAAAGATCTAATACGTATTAGTTTGCAAACACGTACCTTCCTTCTCGTGAAATTCAGCCAATGAAACGGCAGCTGCAAGGTGTCGTTCAGCCTTCTTGAACTCCTGTTCAGTGCCAGCTGTAATAAAATCAAGAGAAAGTGAGTTTTCTTTATACCACTTCCTTCACCCAGTGAGTCAGGGACATAGATTTACCCAATAATAAATAAATGCTTCATATGAACATGATTAATGCAATTGCATACAATATTTATAAAATATTCATTTCTATCCTCCTTAGTATAAAAATTACCACATAACACTAAATAATATTATGAACTAGACAGAGTTCAAAGTTTTTTGGGACGTACCTCCGCTCAAAAGAATGTCCAGATTATCTCTTATCTCCTTTACATCATTGTAAATTTTCATTCCCAAGTTCTTGAATTTCGCTTCTACGTCATCAGGGTTGCTCAAATCTACAATTTGTTTATTAAGTTCACATGACGTACCGGTATTACATCATAACTAATAATCAATTTAAATGAGAATTATTAGCTAACATTTTGTCATTAGTATATATAAAAAAAATAGCTTTTTAAGTATAATTTTATGTAAAACTTTCATATATCTCTGTTTGCATATCATTAAAGTAAGGAAATTAAATGGTTGCTTGATTTCTGAAATACCCTGTGTATGAAATAACTTAGACCTTTTTTCCTTCATTACAAAATGTTTTATCAAATACCTGCATCAGTCAATTTCCATGCTTCCATCCAGTGTTCTGGGGTATATGGCTACATTAAAAAATACATAATGAATAAAATTGGGAAAGGTATATAAAAATTCATACAACACGGTTGTCATTTTTATTAGCATTTTTAGTTAATTTATTAGCATCAGAGATTGTTTTGGGAGCTAGAGGGAATGGAGATTCCATATACTAGTAATTTTATTATTTGTCTCTTACCTTGGAACAATGTCCTGAAATTCAACAAGAATACCATTGTTACAAGTCTTTGTAAATATCTTTTGTACTGATCAATAAACATACTCTGTATTTCAGAAACTGAACAACAATAATAAGGAAATAACTTTTTAGACTTATTCAAAAATACACAGATATATTTTTTACATTTACCTTTATTTAGTTAAATCTATTTTAGTACGAAATTACTTACCAAACAACATTTTAATGTCATCGAGCTCTTGAGCAACTTTATTAATAAATGATTTCATTTCGCCAACTCTGTCTTCAACTGTAATTAAACTCAAAATCAATTTCTACTCTAACAATTTTACTGTTAAAACAGGATTATGCTATCTTGCTGCAAAATATGATCAGAGACCTATTAAACGATCTAAACTGCATACTGGACAAAAGATATAGAGACTAATTTAGTAAAGAATGCGCAAATTAACCAAAATTAAAGAATTTTAAAACTCGTACAGGAGATAGTTGTGTCTCCTAGGCTGGCAACCATAGCTCTTGCTCCTCCCTGGACGCACTCTAAAACACGTCTGACCATTGCATCGCACTCCCCGAGAGCCTCGACATCAGCTGAAAGCAAAGTGCGAGTTTAATCTTTATTGAATGATGGCGGGATGCGATTCGAACATTACCATTTTCTTGCTGTGGCGAGATGTTTCATTTTTGCCGTAAGGTTTAAAATAGTTTATTTTCTTTCAATCTCTTCGTTTTCGTACAATTAAAAAGGTCATTGCTTGATTTTTTAAAGGTTCTGATTTAAAAGTACACATGAAATTTAAGTGATGAATACCTCTAGTACAACCAGCCGGGATGGTAACTGGTTTTGGTGGAATCATAACGTGGCCTTCTTCAGCTGAAAAAAATTAAAGTGCGATATTTTCTATTGCAGGAAAACCCATAAAGGAAACAGTCATTAATAAATATAGCTCAGTTGATGTATACCCTTTTGTTCGTGCATCTTTACAAGATGTGCAGCTCCTGACAGCATGTTGACAAGGTCATTCTTGTTCTGTTCGACATTTTCTGTAAATGAAATACATTAATCAGAATACACATTGCAGGGTACCCATTGCGACAATAAAACTATGCCTTGTAAAATTTCAGTTTTTTTTATAATTAAGATATAAACCCCCTTTACAGTGGCTGAGCGTTTTCTATATACATCTTACATGTTTTACAATCAAGTGTTTCGTAAACATCTTACCGCCTTTGACGGCTCTGTCCAACACACCAAGGAAGTGTTTCAAATCGTTAGCAATATTTCCCAAAATTTCTTCTTTTTGGGCATCGGTGTAGTCATCTACAAATCAAATGAAATGTTTTACAACGGTAGGATATTAAGTCTTTAGTGCTATATCTGCATTGCACGGACTGAGACGTGTAGTCTTACTATTCATGCCAGCTAGAAACGCCGAAACCCAATGATCGTCATCTCCATCGTCCCGTTTCTATATAAAAAAAAAGACAAGGAATATGAAAGTATCATGCTAAAAAGTACAAGGGATCAGGCGTCATCAATAAAAAAAAATCCCCCAAGTAAAATACTCCCATATAGTCCAAAGTGGATGAATTAGTAGATCTAGTGTTTATTTGAAACAGAAAACCTTCCCAACTATTAGTACATTGTAACATCATGTACCTGATTCATGTTAAGTATTGAAGTTGTCCAATTACTGTTAAGTTATTGAAAATGCTAAAATATCATGTCCAGTTCCTAAATATAACTTTGTAACATGTATTTTAAACACAGGACAATGCTAGAAAATCTATCAAGACTACTTCATTCAAAAATGGAGATTTTAAAACAAAATAAATCTAATTGCATTGGCTCCAGTCAAACCGAAAAATCTAAAGACGATGTTGCATTTCCCCCCCCCCCATAATTCAATATTTTAGGTAAGCAAATTGAATTATACACGAATTTGTTCCTTCGTTATCATGTTTCATTAATTTGTCATTTCATATGCATTTTAATATGATAAAACTTAAGCTATATTCATATAGTTTGAAGTTCTTGGGACGGTCATATAACAAAAAGACATTTGCACCCCTCAAAACAACAGCACAGGAAAATTCCAGATTTTATAGAAATTGATTTTTGTTTCCATTTTCCTGTTACATGTGCCTAAAAATGTATGCTTTTTTAATGAAATTTTACCTATGGTATCTTGCAAATGCCACTGCATGCTTTTTACACGAACTATAATTTGACAATTGAAATAGACCTAAAATACACATTGTACAAATGTACTGTTTTAAAATATTCTATAAACTAAAAAATATTGCAAAAGTTTAAAAAAAAAATTCTGAATATCGGCATATTTCCTTTTCTCTTTAACGTTCGTTGGGGTATTTTCATTGAAAAAGACTATTTTTGTAAGAATTTAAATGATTATGTAAGAAATTAAGGTGTTGCAGCACGTTTTCAAATCAACAATTAAGTAAACGGTTTAATAGCTAGTCATGTTTATTTCGCTGATTATTAGATAACCTGACATCATTTATTTGTTGTTTTCTCTCTATCAATTTTAGACTGTGACCGCTTTTTGTTTGAAACGCAACATGATGCAATATTCCTTCCGTGACGTAAAACTATTTTGTAGTCTAAAAATGTCCTTTTAAAGTTCTTATCTCTTCACGTCTTTTATAAAGATTAAAACGTTCCGTGTATATGTAGGTTTTGAGAATGATTAGCTGCGATCTGTAGCTAGCTATTTTATTTAACATTAAATTAGAATAATAATTCTTACAGATAAATCGAAAACTGAAGCGCCTACTTTTGTGCGTAATTTTATTTCATTGGTGACGTTGATCTACGCTCTGGCATTTTTTTTTTCGGAGAGCTACAGTTCAGCAGCAAGAGAATGGCTTTCTTTTGGGATTTAATTCAAAAAGTCCTTGATCTGTAATATGTTATCATATAATGCATTATGTTATTAAATGCTTTTTTTATTTTTCAAAGTAGCCGTTCACATCTATTGAATTGAAAACGATATCAAGATTCTTGGCCGAAATTGGTAACTAAGGTCCCCCCCCGAAAAGCCTTTTTATGGTACTATATTCTGTATATCAGCATTTTAAACGATTATGTGCGATCACATTTTTGGAGCGCAACGAGGTGTCATATTTGACTGCTGGTGTAAAGAGAATTCGTAACTTTTAAAAAAATCTATTTAATTTTTTTTTAAATTGCTAACTTCTTAACAGTTTATAAAGAAAACGTTTGTTCTGGTGTATGATATTGGTTTTTCTTATTGGCCTAATATGGCCGTTTAAAAGATCTTGAATTGTAGATGCCATCATTACTACACATGAATAAGGCTATATTTAAAGTTACGGTTTGCATATATATACACATACATGTATATTGAATTGATCCTATAATCAAAATTATAGGACAGCATTTTACATTTTTCCGAAACACAAATTCTTTCATATTTATATGCATTTTACCCCTTTTAATTTTCCTTAGTCCACATTTGCCAACTGACATTTTCAACAGCATCGTTCAAGAAAATATTTAGATTTCCTTTGGGTTTTTTCTGTTGAATCTGTGTAATTTATTTTATGAAATCCTTCTTATTTTTATTCAAAGATGGGAATATTAAGTTCCAACGTTTTACCGTGCAATATTAACAATTTATAATTTACGATAGTTTTACAAAATAATTGCATTAGAATTAGAATTAACTGTAAGTATTTCACTTTGTCAAGCAGAATAAAGCAATCTAAGTAAATTGATTATTGTTAAAAATCATTATATATGTTAATTATGCTTCTTAGCACAACTTTTGAAGATAAAGGAAAGATAGAAACATGCACATAATTAAATGGCTAAAATTTATTGAAGCAAACATCGGTTTACTTGTTGGAAATTGAAGAAAAATCTACAATTATATTAGTGACTTAAACAGCTAAACAATAAAATAAAAAAAAAGAGTTGTTAAGCATGGGATCTATTGGAATATTTGATTAAAAATACAATCACCAATTAAGCTGCAAATAATTTTAATAAACAAAATTTAATATACCCCCTGCAGTTTTTACCTTTAAAGTGCGGGCCGAGGCAATGGCCAAAACAGCCAAAAATATCCAAGTTGCACGCATCGTCGTCTGTGTTCTGTTAACAGTCTGCACAATGGACAAACTTCCCCGGTATATATATCTTTACATCCCTCTTCATTTCGAAATTCTTTTCCATGGATCAGTGCTTGTTTTCATCGGTTACTAGATTTTGTAATGGTTAAATTACGTTAGCAAAATAAGAGAAATAAATAAAACTTGAGATAAATTATAACATCTTTAGGCTATTTAAAGATCGCTTACACATCTTTTGATAAAACCAAAATCAAATTTTATAGTTTGTTGAAGATGTTTTTCAATTAGGGTTCAATAGGATTATTTCACTGACTTCAACACCCACGCAAGTCACCAATAAGAAAATTTTGATAAATTGTCGATAACATTTTAAAGCCATGGTATTGTTTTTGAAAGTAGGAAGCATAACAAGAAATTTACAACACGCTTAAACATCTTTGACATAAAAACGGAAAACTGTCCAAACTCCAGAATCTTATTTCGGGCAGAGGGTAAGGGTGTTGAGAAGATTTAGACTTTACTTTACAACCAGAGTTTACCAATACATTAGTAAATTCCTTTGATTTGAAAAAGGGGCAGCCCCTCAACACTAAGTGCCAGCATTTTATCTTAATTGGTAAAAAAAAAAAACAACCTTGCATCTCTAACACTGATCAATTAATACAAAAAGTACGACATCAGTCATAGAAATTACTTTTAAAAAATTAGGAAAGCAATGTTATTTTATCATGTATTTATTTTCATTTATTTAGTAATTTATTCATTTTTGCTCAACCCCCACCCCCTCCCAGCTCTGTTACATTTGTTTTGCCGTTTTTGTTAAGCGGTGGTTAAGAAATTTATTTGTAAGAGCGAGGGGGAGCAATTTATTTTATTTTTTAAAATCATATTTTTAAGTTTACACATTTTAAAGTAAAGTTTGGATTTTTCAACTTTTAATAAGGTGGAATTAATTAATTGACTAGATAGAAAATAATATATGAAATATTAATTTTATGTTTTGAAACATGCAAGTACATGTAAGTGCGTAAATCTCCTGAGCAAACTTTTTCAAAAGCATGCGCTTGAAAATACATGCAAGATGCATTTTGAAATAAAGATCGAAAGATTTTGCACTCAGTTGTATTAAAAGTTGACCCTGAGCTCGTTAACAGATCAAAACTTTTCTTCCTTTTCAAAAATTCGCTTCACTGAAGAATGCTTATCATTATTTTTTCGTATGTCCAAAGTATGCGAACGCCAGAAATGAATTTTTGTATAATTTTTTTTTTACAATTTGATAAAATCCACATACTAGATACACATGTCTAGTTATGGGGGGTTGATTCACTGAGTGCTGCAGAGAATGAACGTGTCTTTACTTTTGTTCAAACATTTATTAAGCATTCTGATAGATTTCCTTGTTAATTACTGTACCAATATTAATATATAAATTTGTTCAACTTTTTATATATTTATACATATATGCAAAATGCATCAATTTGTTTACTTTTGCAAATACTGAATACTTTATATAGCATGTTTAACTGTGACAATATAAATGTGTAATTTACATGTACAGGGAGAGGGCGTTATAAGTTTGCAGAACTTGTGCTCAATCCCTTTGTAATTATATTACAAATAAAATATGTTCAAATCATATGCTTTCACTTTTTTGATTTCTTTATATATATTTTCAAATTAAGTGTTCAGATTTTTTTCCTATGTGCGTATCTTAACATGTTTAATTCGCTTGAAATTAAATGTTCAAAGTGGTCCGCGTCTTATTATGTACAATTACATACATGTAATTATAGCTTTTTTTCAAAATTATTTTCAACTTTTTTACTTTAGTGAAATTGTATCCCACACTTACAAATAAAATATATTTAGTTTCTAATATAATGTTTTCATCAATTTATACAGCAATGGATGCTTTAAACATGTTTGTATAATATTTGTTGTTTGACGTATTCTACTAAGCTTGCCAGTGCTTGCTATCATGCTTGTATTTGATTTTGTTTGGATGATTTTCTCTAGGATACGGTCAAATGTGATGAAAAGAAAACTAATGACATTAGCCACTATTTATGACTGACAGAAAACATGTCGAGCAATACAGACAATAGCCCCTCTTGGTATTAAGACCTTTAAATAATATTTTTCGAAAATTAAAAGTTCAAAGCTTTTGTATGCATGCCTTCCAAATAAATAAACATTAATTAAATTGTGATGTATTATTTTTATTATTTTCAAAACACCTCCAGCGTTAAGTTCTAAATTACTGGTGTCATAGGGTGGAGAATTTCACAATAAACACGACAGTTGACATTCTTGTAAATCTGCATTTAATGCAAAATAATATTGGTCCTATATATGCATAACTGTCTGAAGAGCCAACTTGGAGGAAAACGCTTACAGTAAAGATTTTATTTCATTTGGACGGAAGCATTCTGTTTTTATTTATTTAAGTACTTTTTACTGTACCAACAAAAAAAGTTAGGCAATCTGAAACATACAATTTCTAGTTCTGTGTGTACATGTAATTTAAAATTGTATTTAAATTAAATCCTATACATTTTTGACAATTAAAAGTTTTCACCAAAAATTTATATTTCAAATCCTTTGTTTTTGTTTTTTTAAATATACGCCCTAAAATTTCATTCAGAAATGTGCAATACTTCAGAAAATATTCAAGGAAACACATGGGTATCCCCAATCGCAGCACAATGATTTCTTCTTGGAAAGGTTAAAAAGATATACAAGTGCAGCTAAACTAAAAATGAATGTTGAAAAAAAAATAACACTATGACGGCTTCGGTAATATTCTTGCCGTGTGGTGATGGAAAAAACCTAACGTTGTGTGTTTAGCTTAAAGGGTATTTTAAAGAATCAAATGAAATTTTAAGACAGAAATCAAAATAAATAGGGAGTACAAGTATGTCAAATGATAACACAAAATTATGAAAGATTTTGGAGCAATTCTGATATATCCTTCAATCAACCCTCATAATAATGTTTTTGAGCATGTTTAAGTAGTATGATTGCCTTTTACAGAGAAAAGAGGTAATTTACTCAAAAAGTGTTGTGCATTCATAAAGTGAAAGAGCAACTAGTGCTAATTGTAACGGGAACCGTTACAGATGTTCCCCAAACGCTCCCCAACTCCCTTTTGGTGCCATATTCCCTGTTAGCTTCATTAAATAAGACAAACTCTGTACATTTTTGACTCAACGTTTTCCCAGAAGGATACCAATTATATTCTAATTTTAGCATTGCACCCGTGCGCATTTGAATGTCTGCGCGTTATGACCATATCATCTTGTCTACACTATCTATATATTTTAATATACTATACAGTTAATTCTCGAATTATCGCCACTCGATATAACGCCATTCTCGCAATACCGCCATGATTTCCCAAGAACGTTTTTCCTGCTATATAAAATTCTCTTTATAACGCCAAATTCGCATACCGCCATCCGCCACCCTATTTTCATAACAAACGTCCATTTCAAGGTGTCAATTATCTCGATATACCGCCACAGGTGTTTGGTGTTCGATGAAGCGTATAATTGGTTCACAGGTCGCAATCGATCGGCTGTACACAGCAAAGCAAGGTACATGTAGTTTTTAAAATAAACAAGATAATTATTTTAATATGAGTTGTTGTTAATATGAACTGCCGTTCTGTTTTCTGTTCAGTAATTATGACTTTAGTCATGGCTTCGCCACGAAAGAGAGTGTTGTTAAATTTTGACGAAAAAAGAGAAATTCTTACATATCACGGCAATCATCCAAAATGTACCCAGGCAGAAATTGCAAGTTATTTTACTGTTTTGTGGGAGAAACCGATAAAAAGGAGAACAGTGGGTGATATAAGCATTCAATTCTCGCCGATTCTGATGGTTCACCTGCTCGAAAAAGACACAGAAGTGCGGCAAATACGGATTTGGAGAAAGCCCTCTTTCTCTGGTTTTCTCAAGCGAGGGCAAAAAATATCCCAGTGACGGGCGACATGCTTATTGAAAAGGGGAAACAATTTGGCGAAGAGCTAGGAATTTCTGACTTCAGATATTCTACAGGATGGTTGACGCGTTTTAAAGAACGCCATGGCATTTCATCAAAAATAATAAGTGGAGAAAGCGCTGGTATTGATGTTAATTTGATTAATGACGGCAGAAAAAAGGCAATAGAAGTCATGAAGAATTATGATTTGAAAGACATTTATAACATTGATGAAACAGGTTTATTTTACCGATTGTTACCTGATCGCTCTCTCTGCACGAATGAACATGTCAAGGGCACGAAAAAGGCAAAGGATCGCATTACTATAACTCTTATGTGCAATGCAGATGGAACTGACAAATTGAAGCCACTCGTCATCGGGAAATCCTTACAACCTAGATGTTTCAAAGATTTCAATTCTAATCTGTATGTGGAATATACAGCAAATAAAAAGGCCTGGATGGTTTCTTCTATTTTCTGTGAGTTACTGAAGAAATTTAACGCGCGCATGCGACGAGAGAACAGGAAAGTCCTGCTTATTATGGATAACGCACCTAGTCATGCTGAGCCACTTTTATCCAATGTGCGGATTCACTTTTTACCTCCGACCACTACCAGTCATCTTCAGCCGCTTGATGCCGGCATTATTCAGTGCTTCAAGAGTTATTACCGTCAAAAGCAGTTAAAACATCTTATGCAGTGTATTGATGAGGGTCTACCACCGATAGTTCCGCTTGACAAAGCCATACGGTTCGTAAAACGAGCGTGGGACGAAGTTAGCCCAACAACAATTCAAAACTGCTGGCGTCATAGCGGTCTGACAGAGATTCAGAACGATCACAATAGTCAAATTGATGACGACTCAAGAAACACCGAATTTCCAGATTTGTTGGCCGAGGCATATCGCCGACTAGACATTGACGATGATATGCGGCTAACAGTCGCAGAGTTTGTTGGACTTGACAAAAATGTTGCCAGCTGCGAAACGCTAGCTGATGACATGATCGTTGAATCTATCTCGCGATCCGATGAAACTACCACCTGTGCTGCCGAGTCCGATGACGACGAAAGTGGGTCTAGTTTTCCATCTGTTAAAGAAGCTAAAGCTGCGTCAGAAATTGTCACTCGTTTCTGTGAGAGTTTTAACGACGAAGATGTGTTGGATAAATGCTTTTTTATTCAAGAATTCATTTTAAATGCCTCCGTCGCGAGATTAAAGCAATCTACGTTGGAAAATTATTTGAAATGAGCTAAATGACATGACAATTGGTTTTACATGTATGTAAGTCTTCTTTTTATCATCTTGGTTGTTTTTAACATTAAAATGTCTTTTAAAATTGTCTGTGATGTGTTTCTTAAATATTATGAAAATAAAATAATTGACACGTTTTCAAGTGTTTATTTCAAGAAAGACAACTGTATTTCAATCATAAGAAAGATAACTCTATTGTAGTAAAAAGGAACGGTAACTCTATTTCCACTAATATGGTAGAACTCAATTCATCGCCAAACTCGTTATACCGCCATGATTTCTAAATAACAAAAGGTGGCGGTTTATCGAGAATTGACTGTATATTACAATATTCAGTCCAAAAGTAATAAAAATCACTCATTCAAGTGTATTTTTAATTATACTCGTTCCAAATGCACGCACGTGCGTGCACGTGCATGATGACCATACCTTCTTGTAGGAGTCCCTTACATCTATCTATGTTCTAAATCCCATCATGTTTGGTTGAAAAACAAAGGAGTTATAGCCATTTCAAGTTTCAGACAATCAGATTGCAGCACACGTGCATGCGCGTGATTTCATGTATTTTTACTATATCATATTGTAGTATATCCTAATGCATGACTATATTTCAAATTTCAAAGAATTTCGTCAAAAAATAAAGGAGATATAGCAATTTAAAGTTTCAGCCAATCAGATTGCAGCACACGTGCATGCGTGTGATTTCATGTATTTTTACTACATCATATTGTTGGATATCCTAATGCATGACTATATTTTAAATTTCAAAGAATTTCGTCAAAAAACAAAGGAGATATAGCCATTTAAAGTTTCAGCCAATCAGATTGCAGCACGCGCAAATGCGCATGCTTTCATGAAAATTCTTATATATCATGCTGTAGATCTTCATAATGTGGGACTATGTTCAAAATTGCAAAGGATTATGACAAGAAACAAGAAAGATATTGAGACTTTAGTTTCAGCCAATCAGAGCGAAGTGCACGTGCATGCGCGCGAGATCTTGCTATTTTGACCATGCTATCTTGTCTATACTACTAATGTATCCTTACATTATGAGTTTCAAAAAATTTCATCAAAAAATAGAAAAGTTACGGCAATATTCATTATATTGGTCATTTCACGTGTTGCACGTGCGTGCTCTTGCAAGCACGTGCACGCAAAATGACCTTCGTTCGGCAACGCTGCATAACATGCCTACTGACCCTAAAAAGGTTTCACCTAAGTCGGATGTGTAGTTTACAAGATCACTCGAGGACAAAATTTTCCCAGGAAGAAGAAAAATAATAATAACTAGAGCAAAGCTCGTTGCAAAGCAACGAGTAGGTCTTCCGTCCGGTTTTCACCGGAAGTTCCGGAAGTGACATCAACACAAGAAAGCAATGAGCTAAGTTGTCTCCAGTGACTTTATAATTTCAATTTTGCATCAAAACCTTCAAAATAAGCTATTTTTGGCTACTTCCGGTTTGACCGGAAGTGACGAAGACGGACGGAAAATTAATTTTTATGCTACCACAGACATATATTATTCAAAAAGTTGTCTAGAACGGCAAAAATAGGTGTTTTCCGACTACTTCCGGTTTGCCGGAAGTGACGACGCCGGACGTATTTTGACGACCCAATTAGATAAAGCTTGACATTTTGAACAACTTTGCTTCTTTGACGTATTACAAATTCTCAATATGTTTTGAGATATAAAGAAAAAATTTTCAGCTCCTCTAGGCCCTTAATTTTAGGGGCCAGCCCTTTTTCCGAGATATCATTTGAAAGATCTTGGAATTCTACACTTCTTTTGTTCTATATGTATAATCAAATTATTTCCAAGTAAAAAGATATCGTAGAAAAGGTGTTAAAATTATGAAATTCGCAATATGTAATTTTTCGGGTCATAGCGAGCGCCGACGTGCGGCACTTCCGATAAAAATGAAATACCTTACGCATATCTATAGACTTAGGACTATCATGCCTGAAAGTTACATGATTCCATCTAGAACCATTTCTTAGAAAGTCTGCGGACAACCTCACCCTTCAAAAATCATAAAATCGGCAATATCTCCGAACCGGAAGTGACGTCATCAAATCAAAAAAATATGTATCAGGTTCAAGTAATGTTACATAAGTACTGAAAATTTCATTAAAATCCATCCAGCCGTTTTCGAGAAATCGCATGCACAAAATCGGTAAGAAAAAAAAGAATAATAATATAGAAGAAAAAAAGTGAAAAAGAAACCGAAGAATAACAAGAAGGTCTTCCGCTGAAGACGGAAGACCTTAATAAGAAACAGAGTAAAAACAATATGTTCCCCAACTTCGTTTGGGGAACATAATAAAATATGGTAAAAATATCTCTTTGGGCAGCATTCTCAATGCATAAAACAAATTGAAATGCGCCTTTCCTTTTAAAAATGTTCAATGTTAGGAATATTAACAATATATGTATATTAAATAGATATAGAATTTACATTGCATTAAACTCCTATGAATGCGCATAGCAGGTTTCGTAAACTTAATTTACTTGAAGTTTGCATTTATTATAAATAAATCTTCTCTTAATTTCAAAGTCCCTTTATGTGTTGCAATTGAAGGGCGAGCTTAGATGCCACAGACTATAGTTAAATATCGAGTCAGAAGAAGACTCTATGTAGATTTCCCACAGATCAATGAAAGCGGTTTGTATTAAATAGAATTATTCAAGCTAATCTATGTCTAAGTATTGACAATCTATATAATCACAATTTATATAATGTGGTCTCCACTGTATGTAGTCAAAAATCTTTAACACGAGATGAAAGTAGGTATACTCTGAGGAAGAAATCGCATCGATAGACACTCATGTCTATTCTCTCTAGCTCTGAATAAATAATATATAAATCAAAATAATTCTTCTTTGATTAAATTCAATATAGGTCATCTGTAAACCATATCTAAGATAAGTTACGTCGATCTTTTTTTCATTTTAATTGAAAAATCCTTTGTTGTCTTTCAAATGTCAGTCTTATGAAATATTTTTCTTCATTGAATGCCTGGTTTTAATGTAGTTTTCGCGCGCATTAGCCTTCTAAAATGGTTGTTTAACCTTGTAAAACTTATGTTCGATGAAGGAGAAAGGGAATTCAAGATGCTCCATATAATAACCTTTGCAACGTTCAGTTCAAGTCAGTTCAAAGAATGATATGTTTATAAACAATTTTTGTATCATCCAGGTAACACGAAAACACAAAGGGGTGTGCAATGAGGCAGCTTAGAATAATGGCCTGACATTATTGTGTTTTCCCTCGATGAATTTATTTTAAAATTGTTAAAGTAATCTTAAAAGGTTTCCATAAATTACAAACAGCTTAAATGCATCATACCAGACATTTTGACCTGCGGTATAAAATGAAGAGTTCACCAACAAAGAAATAAATGTAGTACAAAATATTTCTTTCCTTTACAAATAGAGAACAGTTCAATTGCAAAGAACAACCAAGCTGACACATTCCAAACACACTAGCAGCAACTATTTATGGTACCTTAGCCTAATATTTTTCTCATAACTTTTTTTTCATAAATACGTTTGTCATAATAAATAAGTTGCATTGCTATATGAATAAGATGCACAAGGTCCTTGACGGTAACCCGGGTATCAAGAATTTCTTTTGACGAGGTAATAAGCCCTGTCTGTATATGACTTTAAAAATTCTGGACTTAAGTGATGTGAATTTATGGTGAAAGGACTGTTATGTTCTTAATCATACTCATGAACTTTGTTCTTAGATGATTAGGGGTATAAAAATATTTCCCAAATAAGGTAATCAACTAGGCCCAATACAACCCCTGGGTATCAGCTATATGCCTACACATTTCATAAATTTATATAAAGGACAAAGAGTTACTGTGGAGTACATGCCCTTCTCATTCTTAGACCAAAGAATCATGGTGTTTGGTTTCTCACTTTCTTTTTAAAAATCTACTCTTTATAAACCAGGTAACATCAGTCTTCATTAATATGAATGCAAACTGAGAATCCTAAATAAATTGTAAATTAGCTAAGAGTACAAACGGGGCTAGATTGATCATATCAAGAAAAAAAAACCCTCCCAGGTGATATGAAGGTCCCAGACCTCTTTTAGGCTCTTGTATGTAATGAATTTTCAATTTTACGCCAAGAATTTATGCGAACCTTCACCTTGTTAAACCACTGTGAAATCACCAATATTCGTGAGGTCAAATTTTCGTAGTTTGAGGAGACATATTGGTGATCCTTACTCGTCCTTTAGGCACCTGGTCCCACCTTTCCATGGATCTGTGTTTATGCCCTTTTCAAAGATTTGTATTGTTATTAGATCTATCTCTATTCGTTAAATTCACCTTTTTGTGGCGATTTGATTTCGTGATTGAAAACGTCTTAATTTTTATCAAATTGTTGGGGACATTATTTCGCTAACTTCTTAAAACTGTACCTATCAATCAAAAGTTCCACTGGTCACATCCGTTTCAATCGTTTGTTTAACGTTTACAAAGGAAGGGCTGTAAATTTAGACTTGTACTCGGCACTTACGAACTTCGAGCAGTGAAGAATCTTTTTATCATCACCACACACTGCAACATGGGATCTCGTTTTTTACGGTCTCGCCCGAAGAATCGGTATCAACATCCCACGGTGGGATTCGCATCCGCGACGTAAGGATCAAATACTTTCTCCGCGACACTATATAACTTGCAAACGCTATAACCAATGCACCATACGGGCGACCATCCATTCGTAATCATGTCGTGTGCGTAAGTGAACATAATAGATTTATGTAATTATCGAACTCTGTCAATGAAAACTGTAATAGGATGCATGTTTGAAATAGTACAAAGAATTGATTTTTTAAAACTTTCAGAAAATGAAGACAAAAAAATGCCTGCATACTCGTAAATATGCAACGAATGAAAAAACCAAAAATCACGACAAAATCGTAGCAAGGGGATAATTTAAAGGTGCATGGACACAGTTTCAACTGATTTTTTTAATA